GCCGGCGGAATTGCAAAAAAAGTTTTCTCATTGCTATTGGATATAACATCTGATGAGGGCATAGCGTACATATTGGGAGCCGGACCAAGAAGGCTATCAGGTCTATGGTTTTGACCAAGTGGCCAATTACAATTCAGATAACTATTTATACCTGACGTATGGGTAACGTGTTTAGCAACCAAGGAGGCGGTACTTATTATATCCGCCATCTTCGTAAGCAATGGCGGTCGGCTTTCTTCGTTCTGTGCTTCTTTCAGCTATTTTTTTGTGTAATTTAATTTATGTAATTTAATGTTTCAGTGTGCAAAAATGGCTCAGTTAGTGTAATGTTCTATATGTTGGTGTGAAATTTACTTCGAATCGGCATTGATTTTGGGTTTTTGCTGCTTCTACTCAAGTCAATGTATTTCTTCAGCCAAGTTGGGTAGTCTTTTGTTTTAAAATGGTAATCGGCTTTGTATTGACTTGTTTTCTAGATATCCAAAGCCGATGCTCGTTTTTTAGCTGAGATAATTGTAGCTGCCGCCTGTGACTAACTGTCCGCATGTTCGTTCCTAACTGTCCTTTATGATGTTATCAGCAAAATGAAAAAAACAATCTCCGGTTTTCAATTTTCTTCATTACTATGGACAACACTGTCCCACTAACGAGTCAAAATTATACAGAGTGCTCAGCAGTAGGGGATACCAGTATTGTTTTCGAAAGAACTCAGACTTCCGATAACCAAAGATGAAGTCACAGATGCTACCAATCTATTGCAGAGGGTTTGTTATGAAAAATATGCTACATAGCAGTAATAGAGGGGTTTTACTCATTATGTTGTGCGTTAAAGCAAGCCTAACATTGAAAAGCCGGAAATCTGCTATCAGTGTGTAGTGTATGTTTGCTGCTTTGGTCATAAAGGAAGCCGAAGGGTCATGATCAGGGAGTAAAAAGGTAATTAACTGTTGTTAAGCTCACTTTCTTATAGATCATATTTCACCACTCGCAAATTTGTGTTTTTTTACGGTATGATGTCAACCGGTACCAAATTTGTTCACCCTTACGATGAAAAGTACCTGCAAATTTTCTCCTTCATATTCGAATTATTTTTGGAAAACTGTCTTCTAGTTTGAGTGCTTCGTACGCCCTAGGGGACTAGCTTCCTACATTATTCATAGTTCCAGTATAACTTTCTCACGCAGTAAGTTCAAAGTAGACACAAGTCTTTCTAAATAAGCCTGTTAAGCTTATATCCGTATTCTCTATTTCAGTTAATCGATGAAGACATGTACCACGTGCATCTGCTGTGTACTGCCATTTTACTTGAATTATAACTTATATCTTACTTCTGAAAAATAAAATTGCTATATGCAGCAAATACAGACTTATTTGTTTTGATGGAGGTAGAAAGGGTTCATTGGATTTTTAGCGGAACTGTTGTAACATTCTCACTAAAGAGCTAAGTGAGTGCGTAGACGAATGTAAGGTACCATACAGGGTGCCTTTGCGTTACTCGTGTTCCATTAATGTTGTTAGAGGCATCACTTGCTTATCATATGATATTTGAATAAGAAGCTATGAGATTAGACGCAGGGACGGTTAGGATATGCAACGCGTGTCCACCCATCAGCTGCCGTGGCAACTCATGGTGACTAGAATAAGTTGTGAAAGGACCCAAGTCTGTAGGTTTCCCAATAAAATGACGAAGATATGCACCAAATCACCTTATGAAGAGCGCCTCCAATCACTTAACCTCTACCCATCGGTGACCTTCTAATGGCTTACGGTATCCTTGACACTTCTGGAAATTCTCTTAAACACCTACTTAAGCTTAGTTCCAACACTAACCTAAGGGGTAACACCCAGAAACAGGAGACATCATAGGAGAACGTACTGTAGACATAAATTCTACTCCTTAGGAGTTGTCAAATGCTGGAATTCGCTGCCAGCCGAGCTAGTTCAAGCGACTTTCCAGGAGTCTTTTAAGAGGCAACTGGATCTATTCTTAAGGATAATATCATACTATGATTTACCGATTTCTTTTTCCTCTTTTATTGTTAACATACCTAGGTTTCTGCCTGGAAGTTTCGGTGGTCTCCTGCTTCTACACACGGTAGCCTGAACACATGAATTAGGTGCTGAGAAGCTCGTGTATCACAAGTTTCTTGCAACGATTAAGTAGATAAAACAAAGTAGCATTAGATTCAAAAAAATTATTCGAGAACTTCCCTTAGGAATCGAATATCAAACAAAGGTTTAAACAATGTTCCCGTTTGAAAGTTGCAATGGTAATGTTAGGCTGAAACTTTTGTTGTTTTTTTCAAAACGAAAGAGCGAAAGAAGTAACTCAAAAGGTACAGGAAGTGATTGTGAGACTAAAATGGACATCCAGCAGCCTTTTGATAATCTGCTGTTAGTTGGGTCTCCTGTAAACAGTTTCATAGGGCCATAGTTCTAAGGACGAAACAGTTCTTAGGATCTGTGAAGGCTCAGTCCTGTTGCATTCTAAATGAGAATACAGTAATGAATTTAATCAGAAATGTGGAATAGATAAATAACCAAATTACATGCTTTTTGGCAAAGAATTTATGCAGTTGTGATTTATCTTGTGTTCATGAATATTAGATGAGGTTAGCTACTATTGCTTGTGCAAAGCATAACATGGGTTTAGTACCGTATCGCAACGCTTCTATTATTTTGGTCCCATTTAAGTATTCCCATGCATCTGCGTCTAGTTTAACAGGAAGACATACAAGCAGAGTTAGTGTCTGATAAACTAAAAGTCCCAGTTGTCAAAAAGATTCTTAACATTTGTCCACAGCCAGCTGCATTTAATTGAGACAGAAAACACAGAGCACTGCTATTTTGCGGGCAACTAAAAGCTCAGACGCCTCGCTATCTTGCTACCGATGTTATTGCTGGGGAAATTGTTTAATGACAGTGATCATGATATATGGTCAGTGATAGATGTACGGTATAGAAATAAACAACAAACACACTTATCGCTATCTTATAATGTATGGCAGCAACAGCATCAAAAGCACGTTTTTTCCTATTTTTAATCAGAATAATCTGAATCAGTATACTCATTAGAAACAGGCAACTCTACTTACTAAACTGATCTGTTTCGTTACAGGCTTCAAGCACTATACTTAAGTATACCATAATTCTGTAGTGACTCACTTTTATCACGAGGACATGATTGGTTTATTGAAAACAATGGTTATAATAACCAATTGTACCAGTGACTGTTTCAATGTGCTTTTGTTTAACTGTGCTAAAAACAACCATTATTCTCACACTTTGATTGTGACTTCGCGCGAATTCGGTTACGTTCTGTAACCAAGCTTGTATCCTGGCACGATCTCGGTACCTTTTCGATACCACGAGATCGCCAGCAAATATATCTCGACTTGGTCCATTAACTGGCTTCTGATATTTGGCTTCCGGGGGATTTTATGGAGTCATTTGGCACGCGTTTCTCGTTAGCGGTGTTCATAGTCCATCTTCACTCGACACCACACTACAATTCTTTCAACTAAACTGATTTATACGACAACCAAGAATATTAAACCAAGCAATTGTCATAGTTATTGTTTCATTTGCACAGACATGTTGTTCAAAGTAGTTAAATGGACATAATTAAGCCGATAAAACCAAAAATACGAAATATAGGCCAGTTGAACTTACCTAACAGAAGACAAAGGATATATATATATATATATATATATATATATATATATATATTGCTTTCCGACTGAAGACAACGGTTAGTTGTTCATAGAAACATAGAAACAGTACAACAAACCTTTCTTCAATAATATTATGAACTGACAGTCTATCTGGAAACAATCAACTATGTGATTAAACTCACTATGACTTGGGATAACATCTCAGCGTGCAGTGAACGTGCAGTGTACCGCAGTCAGACGTGGCAAATAAAAATTAAAAATGAGCAAAATTAGCTTAATAATCTACTTATTTAATTAAAATACATTATAAAATGACAAAATCTGTGGTCGCTTGAACTCACAGATGACCCAGTGCGATACATTAAGTTTACATGGTTGCGTTGCGGATAAATTCACCCTTTGAAATCGGTACTGCACAGTTTCTATTTGTACGACCGCCTTGTTTTTCTTTTAATCAGTAAGTTTCGTGACAAATCTGTGAAACAGTTCAAAAAATTGACGGCTTTTGATGATTTTTAGATCAAAATGTGGGTGGCTGACTGGGGATTAGTGAGGGATGTTTTCAGACTTCTACAATATAGAGACAAAAGTTTTAAGCCTATAAATCATTGATTCAATCACGAAGCTGACGCCAGTGAATGTTCCACAGTGTACGACATCTTGGGTCTTCGGTTTGACCTAAGTGTAAGTCATCCAACCGGGAAAGGATTACTATCCTTTCTTTCATCCTTGTTCAGCCTGTTGGGTCTAATTGGTCCAACGTGCTTTCTTCTCAAGGGACTTTTGCAATCTTCAAGTTCTAGGTGGGTTGGTATCAGCCCTTGAGTACTAGTGTTACGTCCTCGTGGAACAGCTGGGCTAATCAATTAGGAGGCTTGGCCATAACCAGAAGCATTAAATGAGGATGAAAGTAACGTTCAAGAAACCGAGTTACATTTTTTCCTTCATGCCCACAAAATAGGCATTGAAGTGGTTAATTCCATTTGTACACATTTCACAGTAAAAGTCTATCTAATTGTTACTCTCTGTGATAACCAGGTTGCTTGTAGTAGGGGCACCATATCAAAGTGTATAGCAAATAATCGTTGAGCGATCTTGCCTGTGAGAGTTTGAAATTTTTTTTCAGTCCTTTTTTGGGACCATGAAAAAACTCATCTTCTTTCAGGTTTCTCATGAATATGGCTTTCTCCGTTAATAAATGGGAAAAAGGATCATTTCGATCTCAAAGAAGGATGATGAGGTGTGAAATAGTTTAAATTTTTACTAATAGAATTATCTCTGACTCCACAAAACTGAAATTGAAACATGTGTCGTTAACTTTGTTTCAAATGGTAGTGCTAACAAAAGCGGCTACTACCAATCTGGGCTTTATGGTGTTTTTTCTTTTGCTATGGACAATGTTTTCTTATCGTTGGCTGGAAATCACCCACTAATGGAAAATGGAAGGTTCCCAGGTATGTGTTTATCAACTTAGTGTTATGAAAAATTGGCTTTGGTCCTTCGATTCTTTCGGTTATTTGGAACACAGTGTAAATTCATTTTAAAACCACGGAATTTTATTGAAAGACACTATTAGGATCGTTCGAAAAGTTTCCGACGCAATAATTTAACAAATTCATGAAACTCACCTCTGATTTGGTGACTTAGCTGTGTAGTCGTTGTTGGCATTCGAATTTTTTTTACCGATTTACATTTCGAAAACTGAAGGTCGAAGGCCTACGTTATTTCTTTCCTTCTGAGTTACTTAGAGTATTCGATTTTCTAAGTAGGTCGATTAAACGTGCTCACTTTTAGTAGTAGGTCTCAAGAACTGATTACTTGGTGGGGACTTTTACAGATCGTAAACTCCATTGTAGATTCAGGTTCTTGATTTAAAGTGTAAACGATTGTTCACTAACGTTCAGAAAAAGTTTTAAGGGAATGATTGATTATTTGTAAGGCCATTAGTCGATTTGAATTGTGAGGGAATATCACCAAAATGTATTAATGTATTTCTATTTGCCTTTTATAGCACGTATTTTGGTAGTTAAAAGCGTAGTATAAGAGATATTAAGGTTAAATAAGCCGCTGATCGTGTTAACTGATATTTGTATGCAGGAAATTAAATTGTTTCCAACCTGTTTCTCACTTATCCTCAAAGGAGGTAGACAAGAAATCTCCCAATGTTCGCGCAAAGATTACGTGTAACGAAGTTCAACTGGCCAACCAATCTGTAAAAGGATTTATGGTGATATAGTCCCACTCATCCCGACTCTAAAAAACGCTTGCTGAAATAATTTCAATGGAATGAACTTTTATTGTAATATTAAAATGTTCGAGTTTAGGTAGTGTGCAGTGCTACTGAGTGATTTGGAGTGTTATCAACCAAGGTGCCTTGCAATTACTTTTTCCTTAAGGTCGTATTGAATGTTTTAGCATTGTCTCATGTTTATCTTTATGTAAAATCTAGGTTTTTAACACATAACGTAATATTGAAGTGAATTTTCACGTCCTGGAATTCGAGTTAATTTTTGTGTGGGGTTAGTGATACTGCCTTTACGTTTCGATCGAAGTAGATAGGGTGAAATTCTGATCTGCGGCTGTAATTAAAATCCTTGTTGTATTCCTTGCTCATAACACCTGTACGCCATAAATTCTTGTTTCCAGATCTTTCTGGCACTAATACCAACAATACACGTTAATACTTATACCAGAATCTTAATCTGACTTGCGAGTCCTCATAGACTTAATCTCGATATGATTTCATATTGAGCTATTTTTGGAAAACGTGAATTTTGAGACTCCGTTACTTTTTTTGCTGCTTATTTACCGGGCTAGTGTTCTACGGTTAAATGCGCTTTTTGATCAACGAAGTGTAATGATTAAAGTTTGTTAAAATTATCCTGTTTCTGAACAAACGACACAGTGCTTGTAGAATGCTAGAGCTCAGCGATTGACCATAGGCATATGCACTTGTTTGTGAGCCATACGCTCAATAAAGACTAACGATGCTAATTTCCTGCCTAGTTCTTTTTAACTAGAACCGGTATGCCACGTTTTAGTCTTCTCTGCATCGAGTCATGCGTGACTTCCAAGTATCTGACCATAAATCTCTTTAAAATATTGCGTATGTATCTTGGAACCACCAAATGAATACTAATTATGCTGTGCGTAGTATATTAGATAAAACGGTGAATCGGTAAATGAGTTTGTGCACCATCGACCGATATAGTTTGGACATTAGTTACGTATACTCAACTATCTCATACCTCGACTTACAAGGCTGGGTAGTATCAGATTCAGTTAGCAGAAGCTGTAGGAACTGTGACCGAACTAATTTATATTACCAACCCATGTTGTTTTTGATTCAGCGAAGCTGCATTCTCTGAGCTTGGTGGTTGATACGACACTCAAAGATTTGGCCCAACAATCAGGAGAATGACATACAAGCGAATTTCCTCCAATCACCTATGACACTTTTTGATGTTTATTTTTTATTCGACGGCAAATGTCCGGTGTAGGAGTGGACTGGAAGAATGCTAAGCGGCGGTCAAACCATACAGCCACCGTCAGAGAAGTCCTACTCACTGCCTTCTCGCGGCGATGCTGTTTGCGAAATTTAGAGGACAAAAAGCGAATGTCTGGCGCTCTAACCGGGTTGGCTGGTACGGATGATCCACTTAAGAGTTGAAAAACCATGATTCCGAACCGGTGGTGCACATGGGCTGCAGGATCCTGAGGGAACGAATGGCATATGAACGTATTCTTGGTCACCAGCTACCATGGGATTACATCTAACGTTTCTGCGCTGCCTTATGAATTAGACCTCTAGGTCAAGGTTTCGGGGAGTAGCCTCCTAAAAAACCCACTTGCTTCGGTTTGAGCACCCGGACAGTATTCCAACCCACACACATCAATAATATTTCTGGAAAAATTACTCGTGCTTCAACGCTCATCCAGACAAGTCATTGTCACAATCATTTGATAACATTCGTCTTTATTTCTTTTATACTACGTCACTTATGTACTCTTTATTCTCGTTTTGGGTATTTTATTATACAACAGCTCGCCTATGGTGGAAACACTGTGCTATCCAAACGATCTCAAGTCACTGACTTGTCAAAAATTGAGTGCTTCCACAGAATACGAAAACTGAAATAGTCTTTCTAAAACAACGTACACCACTAAATCTGGCTTTCTTCAACATTCACACACTAATGCAGATCGGACAACAGATAGGGCTGGCTATGTCTTTAGGAAGTTTCAATCTATGTTTGCTGTCTATCCGAGACCCGTATTCAAGACTCCAGTGAAATACTACAAATTCGCTTTCCATCTGTCGCTTCTAAAAGCTTTTTTCACGTGCATCTGTCATGGGTTCCTGTGGCATTGGCTTTTTTTGCTGGCGTTGGTGTCTCACTACGCTCTAGAGCTGAGGCAGCATTGATCAATTGAATCGGTCTGTGTGTGTGTTGTTAGATTAGAAGGTTCCATAAAAGTGCGAAGAAATCGGTGTGAGAAACGATGTATTTTTGTCATCTCCGTCTATGCTCCAACAGATTACAGCCCGGATGCTATCAAGGATGAATTTTACCACCAGTTAACAGTTCTCCTACAGAAAGTGCGTTCGACAGATACTGTAGTGCTAACCGGAGACTTGAATACTCAGATCGGGTGTCTAGGCACAGATGAGAGTCGTTTGGGTAGTCGGTGGGGACTTGTTGGTCGCAGGTCATAAAAACGGGGATCTTCTACTGCAAATGTGAATGAATCACAACATGTTTCTGGCTAGCACTAACCGTCGACACAATCATCAGTGTGCCATCTGGTGTGCTCTCTCTGCATCTCAAGCCTAGACTCAGATTGATTACATCGCGATCAGCTACCACTGACTTGGCTATGTACAAGAATGCCGCTCCTTTTGAAATACCTATTTGGACTTTGATCATGCCCTTGCTTGTGCTGGCCTACATTACTTTTTAGTGGCCAATGAGTTCATCGTCATAAACGGATCAATGTCAGTAAATCGGTTGCAACTTCTGTTGCAACTAAGTATCGAACCGAGCTGGGTCCAAGGCTAGCTACCATTCCACCAAAAAGTGTAGATCAGCATTGGCTGCAATTGCATGACACCATGAAAATGGCGAGTAAATTCGCTTCCGGCTTCGCGCAACCTCCTGCAAGCTCCTTCAGCTTATCCGAATCACTATCAGCAAGAAGTCTTGTGTGAGCGAAACAATCTGTGAAGATGATGGTAGGTCAGTCACTAACATCTACTGACGTTTTAGATGATGGGCAGTTTTTCGAGAAGCGGTTCGATTGGTCTGTTGCCCCGGTAACATCGATCAGACTGTCCTGCCCTCCATGGTCTGTGACGACTGATCCACCTAAAGAGAATGTATTGACCATATCTTCACCCGTCACTAAATGTTAGAACGCCGTCATACTTATTAAAGGCAAAAAATCATAGTGTTTCTTGATATTATAACAGACTTGTCCACTGAACCGTACTGTTCTATGGGATTGTCCATTGAAGAAGGGTGTGCTTGAGAAGTTTATTAACATCTCGAAAGCCCAATCTCACTATTCCTCTTCAACTTCGCTATCGATCACGTTCTGGAAACAACTCTGATGAATGTAGGTAATAGTGGTGTGGATCTCTTACCTGGAGAAAGACTTTTTGACCTCGAGTATGAGGATGATTTTGTCCTACTGCGCGATGATATTCAAGCCATGTAATCTACACGTAATCAGTTGGCAATTAGTGTTCGTAGGTATGGTATGTGCCTTGCACCTTCAAAGTGCAAAGTACTTTTACAAGACTGACTGGACCCTGATCCTGTACTCACCGTGGGTAGTGAGCAAATATAAGTAGTCGAGAAGTTCGCATATCTGGGTAGCTGCGTAATCGCTAGTGGTGGCGTGAGTGATGAGATCGATTCATGTATAGTGAAAGCCAGAGTGGTTTATGCCAATCTGGGCCATCTTTGGCGCCTTTGTGATGTTAGTCTGGCTGTAAAAGGTCGGTTCTACAACGCCTCAGTAAGGGCGGTTTTGTTCTATGATTGTGAAATCTGGCCTCCAAGTTGAGGATGTTAGACGACTCTGTGTTTGGTCATCGCTGTCTCCGAAAGATTGCCGACATCCAGTGACAACACCATGTTAGTAGTTCGGAGGTTCGGCATCGTGCTTTCGGGCACAACGACGATAATTCAATTGGTGTCACTATCTTGAAACATCAACTTAGGTGGCTTGGACATGTACTACAAATGTGGTCCCAGTGAATTGCACATCGTGCATTATTTACCGACGCTGGGACTGGTTGGTAAAAGTGTAGAGGTAGTCAGAGTATGACATGGTGTAATGTGAAAGGAAAATGTACAGGACTGGTTTCTGTTGACTCTACACAACTTATTTATTTGAACACAAAGATTGGTAAAAGGGAGGCACCGAATTCGTATGCTCCACACCATCAAATTTGTATGAGGGCAGTGATACAGCCTGGGTGCCCAAACCGAAGCATATGATCTTTTTAGGGGGCTACACTCGGAGCCTTTGACCCAAAGGTCTGATCCACAAAACAGTGGAGCATCGTAAGGAGATGCAGTCCCATGGTAGCCGGTGACCAACGAATGATTCATACGCAATTTGTTCGTTCACGATACTCGAGCCTATGTGCATCACTGGTTTGGAATCAGGGTTTCGCAACTCTCCTAGGTGGACTCTCTATGTCCATAACCGGGTTAAAGCGCCAGATATTCGCTTTTCGTCCTCTCAATCTCATAAACAACACCCGTGCCTCGAGGAAGTGAGTAGGACTTCTCTGGTAGAGGCTATATACGCGTAGTCATGTGAGAGCATTTCGAGAGGGAGAGCGAACACTCCCTACTCTCGGCCGTACCAGGGCGTTTGGGGGTTGAGGTGTTAGGGATGGTACAACTCTGGCTAGAGATGTTATCAGGCATGGTTCAGAATAGAAGCCAGTGTAGACTTTACGGTAACTTTCTTTTACTTCATAAAAATAAACGTAATTTGTTTAACTGAAGGAATTCTTTCTGGTTTCATTTTTCCTAACTGAACTGTTTCTCCTATTGTTATTATCATTATTTCATTCTTATACACTAATTTCTGTTGATTGTTGTTCTTTTTGTTACCCTCAAATGCCCTGGTACAGTCAAGAGTGGGGAGAGTCCGCTCTCCCTCTCGAAATGCTCTCACATGACTACGCGTATATAGCCTCTACCAGAGAAGTCCTACTCACTTCCTCGAGGCACGGGTGTTGTTTATGAGATTGAGAGGACGAAAAGCGAATATCTGGCGCTTTAACCCGGTTATGGACATAGAGAGTCCACCTAGGAGAGTTGCGAAACCCTGATTTCAAACCAGTGATGCACATAGGCTCGAGTATCGTGAACGAACAAATTGCGTATGAATCATTCGTTGGTCACCGGCTACCATGGGACTGCATCTCCTTACGATGCTCCACTGTTTTGTGGATCAGACCTTTGGGTCAAAGGCTCCGAGTGTAGCCCCCTAAAAAGATCATATGCTTCGGTTTGGGCACCCAGGCTGTATCACTGCCCTCATACAAATTTGATGGTGTGGAGCATACGAATTCGGTGCCTCCCTTGTACCAATATCTGTGTTCAAATAAATAAAGTTCTCTTTGTTGACTCCTTGTGCCAATGTTTGTGTCTAAATAAAATAATAATCATTAACCAAAACATACCATCAGTTAATAAAGTCATTGACATTTGGACTGAGTCATGTTATTGGGTGTAGGCCACGTGGTTAAAATGTCTGTGATTATCATAACCAGTGGTTAGAGATTTTAGATGACATGGCTCAAAATTGTTTTCATTTGCTCAGGTGCATTCATCCTGTTTTCCTCCAAATCCTAAGTTTCTGAATTCCTAGATTTTTCGTTTTGTCTCACTAAATTATGTTTACTTTATTTTTAGTGCCTAATCTTTTCTGTTACCACTAATACTGCTGCTGCCTCTACTATTCTGGGATTCGACCTGAAAATTTGGTTTCTGTGCTAATGACATATGGCAACTTAAACCGTTATACATATTCAACATTGTGACTGACTGAATAACACCTTTTCCCGTTGATATTTAATTGAATTAGGTGTTATGGACAGTTGTCCTATCATTGTCTACACATTTAATTTGATTGTCTTCATGATTTGATTCTTGACCTTCTAATTACCTACTACTTTTCTAACTGACTGATGAATTAGGTCGGTTTCAATATGCTTGTTTATTTCTGACTCCTGAGAGTCGTAAAACAAAACGCTCGTATCCTAGTGAATAAAAGATACCGTAAGTGTGTTATAAACGATGACTGAATTCAGCTTATGGTTCCTTATGCGTTTTTTAAAACAAAGATCATGAGTATTCGCATCCGGAAACACAACAGAAAGCATTTCACGAAATAATATCCGATACTCAAACGGTTGAATGAGTTTTATCAGGTTAGCGTTAATTTAGTAGAAAAATGTAGATTTCGTTCTTACAGTAAGTAACATGATATATTGATCCTGATTCCCTTGCAAACAGCGCTCGAATTGTGTGGGCAAAGGAGGTATATCAGTCAGTCAGTCAGTCATAAACTGTGTATTATGTAGTCCAGTTGAAATAGTTGTGGTATTGCTGACAAAAAAAACTAAACAATGGATATGGTTCAAAAAAGAAATCTCATGAGGCACGCAATTATGTAAGAAAAGCAGATTTCTTTGATACATTCATTACTCATTAAAATATAGTTAACCTGCTTCACTGTCATAAATGTAGTCTGAATATCATCAAACTGTTTTTTAATGCCTAAATTGTATATACTTATCAAGACCGTTCAATAAGATATCAAAAACTCGAAAGATGCAACTCAATAGTTATCATGCATGATTCATACATTTCGGTTAAGGTTTAAGAATAATAATGGAGAGGTAGAAAACCAAGTGTTCTTGTGGAGCTTGCTACTTGTGAATTTTCGTTATCTAGAACCTATTGTTTCCTATTTTCGGTTTTAGTTATGGTTCAAAACCCACATTTCGCTTCTTGGACACAACTTTCTGCACAGACAGCTGGGAACGCAGCTGCTGCAGCAGCCGCTGCAGCTGCAGCAGTACATCCAGGAACAGGGGCACCATTCCAGTTTCCAAACGCCAATTCGTTTCAACATCTTCAGTCACCTGATTCATCAACTGCCACCTCTCGTAGTGTCAATTTAGATAATTCTGCTTCGGTCAGTGGAACAGGTAATAATTTTTCACTTGGTTTACAATCAACAACACCTTTAACTTTGCAACATTCAATCCCATCACAAACTCATGCACAGTCACAACAACATCAACAGTTACATCAACACCAAATACAATTACAACAGCAACAACAACATCAACATCAGTTACAACTTCAACAACAAATTCAGTTACAGCAACAACAGTTTAGACAACAACAGTTACAACAACATTCGCTACAACAACAAGCTAGACTTTCAAACCCATCTCAGCAGCAACAACAACAGTTGCATCAGCATTTACAGCGCCAACCTGTTGTTCCTCAGTCACAACAAATGAATCCGATTTCTGGTGTTAGTCTCCAGACTACCAGTACCAATACATCACAATCATTACCAACTATTTTGGATACTACTGGTTTTGGTATGCAAAGTTCATCAACAATGCAGACAACTCCAGCAGTTCATAATCAACTATCTCCTCGGACATCTATACTTAATATAACAAATTTCCCATCATTTACCACTGTTACCACTTCAGTGAAACAGAAACGAAAGTCTAAAACCACTAGTAAAAAGCCTCAAACCGAGGTCATATCCAGCACTACTGTTCTTAGCACAAGTATTCCAGCTTGTGATGTAGTAAGTACATTATGTCCCACTTCTGCAGTATCATCATTTAGTATGATTCCAATGAATGGTAGTTTATCATCAATATCATCGACTGGCCAAACTAATTCTATACCATCTAATGCAGTTACGTCAAGTAGTGAGACGTGTGTTTCACCATTACCAACTGTACTTTCACCATTACCAACACTTCCTGAAGAGATTTTATTAAAGATTGATCCTTCTCTGGGTGATCCTCCACCACCACCACATGCAGATATAACTATTACAAAACCTTATCAATGTGATATATGTTTCAAACGATATTCTGGTATGAAATCATTAAAGAATCATAAACTAACTCATTCTGATATCCGACCTCATAAATGTTCTATATGTGGTAAAGCATTTCTTAGGGCTGATAAAATGCGTCTTCATGAGATTTCTCACTTAAATGTTAAACCGTTTGAATGTACTACTTGTAAACAACGTTTTACTCGTTCTGATAAATTAAAAATTCATCATCGTACTCATACAGGTGTTCGCCCATATGCATGCACTTTTTGTCCTAAGCGCTTTACAAGATCCGATAAACTTAAAATTCATGAACGTATACATACTAAAGTTAAGCCATATGAATGCTCCCATTGCGGAAAATGTTTTGCTCGTTCAGACAAAAGAAGACTACATGAGAAAACTCATATGTATGGACCTAAACCTCGTGCTACCGGTGGGAAAAAATCCAAGACTACAAGTACGGCATCTGCGGCTGCAGCCGCGGCAGCAGCTGTTGTTGCTGCTGCATCAGCGGCGTCATTTCTAAGTGTTAACTCTATTGGAAAAACTCTAGGTCTCCCACTAACTGTTGCCAATCCTTCTATCAGTGTCAATAATTCTTCATGTAGTGTGTTTGATTTCTCTTCAATCACAAATGTTTGTACAACTAGTCAAAGTAATGTATGTTTTTCATCATACCATAATGTTAGTTCAGCTCCATCTAATATGAATGAAAAGACCGCTGATGCTCAACAGATCCCTTGTTCTTTGTCTACAATTTCTTTCCCTTTGCCAACTTGTCAACAGTTGCATTTACCATCACAACATCATTCTACTTTAGCTTCACTTGCAGGAATTGCTCAGTATCATCCAGCTTTATTTTCCGCTCATCCGCGTCAATTTTCTCATACCGCAACAGCAGCTAATCCTGTTTCTTTTTATCCCACAAACCAAACTACTTCTATGGGATTTACAACAGCTAATTCAGGATCTTATCCTCATGCACAAGTAATGCCCTTTCTAGTCAATTCTAATAACACAGGTGCATCATCTTCAATCTCATTTTTGGGATCTAATGCGGTTTCGGACAGTGGCAACAATAACTGTTCAGTTGCTAACACTTCTGGTGTCTATCAAAGCTCTTCTTCTCAGAAAATGGGAGCAGATGTAACTTCGTTTCCGGTTAGTACGTCTGGGTTAACACAGCGAGCTGGAATATCTCCGATTTCTGATTCTGTCTCTGTGAATCCAACATCGACTACAGTAGCGAATACAAATATTGCAGCTGTAATGGCTGCGGCAGCATTAGGTCGTCAATTTCATCAAACTCAACAACAATATCCGCAGATAGTAGCTTATTCAGCTTCTCAACAAATCCCTAATGTTTCAGCTCTTATTCATCAACAACAGCGCCAACAACTCCAGGAAAACCAACAATCACAAGAAACTGGACAACAACAAAGTCAACAGCAGGCACATTTTGTTCATCACCAAACACAATCTAAACAAATCCAGTCACAACAGCATCCACCTCAACAGACACAACAGCAACAACCTAGATCTCAATTTCAGTTCTACCAACCTCAGTTTGCTCATCAGTTTCAACACTCAAGTGGCCAGTTACAGCAAGATCATCAACATCAAATGCTGCAACACCAACAGCAAGTTATTCAGTTGCATCAACAACTTCAACAACAACAGCAACAAACTCAACAACAAACTCAGACTCATCAACAACAACAACAACAGCTTATGCAACAACATTCCGCCATGCTTCAACAACAGGGTCTTATTTCACCTGCTCATTCTGGTACATCGGTTGCTGCGTTCAGTTTATTCCCTCAAGCAGCTGCACAATTTATACCTGGTGTAGTACCAGCTCAGTACGCGGCAGCGGCGGCAGCAGCAGCAGCTCATTCAACGCATCAACAGTACATGCAAGCACAACAGCAACAGTATTTGGCTGCAGCCGCTGCCGCTGCCGCAGTTGTTTCTTCTTCTTCTTCCTCGTCTTCGTCTTCTGCACCAATTCATTCATTGACACTTACAACATCTCATCAATTAAATAACACAACAACAATTACACCGACAACTAGTTCCATTGTCGCTTAGCTTTTTTATATTTAAATCCGACTTCTCTATGTTATGTTATGTGTATATCCATTTGAAAGTAATTTTCTTCAGTCAATATTAATGATAATGATGAAGCAAATAATTTTATGAAAGACGTACCAGAATCAATCTTTTTTTCATTACGTATTACCAACCGGTTTTTTGTGAAATGAATTTGCATTTGACTTTTTCGCATTATGTTATGTAATGTTAAATTGGGTCTTTTTTCATCTTAGATACAATATAGTGCAGTCATATCGATTTTTTGCACTACTCTGTTCATTTTTGTACAGACATTTATTGACACGTACCTGTATTTGTTTGTTTGTTTGTTCACTAATCGACAGTCACCTACTTTAGAATACCGTAACTTCTTACACAATGCTTCTCAATATGCATTTGAATCTTATTTTTTTTCGGAGAAAGAGATTCCATTTAGTGGTTCTTCATCTTTCCATTTCGTCATAGTCTATTAATATAATATATTTATGTAATATGTGTCAACAACCTTAGACAATTAATTCATTGTTTCCTCCTCTTCTAACTCTTTGGTTTTTAATTTTTTATGTCAGGTTGAATTTAAACTAATATTTCATTATTTATTATTATTGTTGTCCATCTCTGTCAGATTATTATCTTTGTTGTTACCATTATGGTAAGTTTACAGCTTGTTAATAATTTCATCAATTCTATTCTCGTAATTTCATTCATTTTTACCATAAATAAAATAAATATACACCAAAGTTGGGTTTCCGTGTGTATATTTATCTATTATCTTGTATACGCTGAAATCTATTTACCTCGTCCTATATTGCATCTTTACTTTAATTAAAGTTCTATCCTTTCTGTGTAGATACCTTTTTGCTTTTAGTTTGACTTGTTTTCGCCTTCCCTTAAACTGGGCTATTATTTTGTTTCAGTGCAATCTATTTCAATTGTTAGTATTCATTATGTATGCTACACACACACACTATGTACACACAAGTGCAACCGAAAAAATTGTTCTTTTTTCGTCTTAATTTTTTCTGACTTCATTCTTTATCATATTCCGTTTACTAACCTACCTCTAGGAAAAGTAGCATATTTTGTCTTTTATGTATATGTCCTTTAAAATACAATTTTTCCGCCTGTAAATGCGTAACAGTTTACTTATCCAATTTTTCCGGTAGGCATTTTTCCCGACTTTCACCAGTTTGTAGACGACAAATACACTGATTGGTTTCATCATTCTTGATTTTAACTGTTACAATATTTTTTTCTGTCTTAGTCCCATCAAATCAGTTTTCTCTAAATCATCCTGGTAATGAATTCATTCTAACTAATAAAGTATATACATATGCATATATATATATGCGTATACCTGTGGCTCAATGCATTTTCTTATTATAGTTGCTATCACTGATCATTAAGTTTAATTTATTTTATGAAAAAACAGCTAATAAACTGCTTACTGTTCTCATTTTACTTATATATACCAGGTTACAATATATCTTTAATTTCCAGATACATAAATGCATGCAGTGTTACAACAGAGTATGTGAATCAAAACTTCATGTAAATATTTTCATTTTGTGTTGATTTTTATTCCTACTTTATATTATTTCTTATTCTCCATTGAAATATGATCAAAACCATGTAGACGAAGTTATTTTTTAATTTCATCTCTATGAAATTGTTCGTTCTGTTTTCTTCAGATGAACGTTTACATATTCTGTATGTGTCTGTCCCTGTATTCTTATGTATGTGTGTTATATGTTGTTAAATGGATTTGCCCATTTGTTTTGTTTGTTTATTAGAAGAGTATGTGTTATTATGTAAAGAGAAAATAATCTCCAATTTAAGTATACAACTATTATTAATACTACTGTTGCATTTTAATCGAGTTCTCTGTTCTTGTTCTTTTTGTTCAATTTTATTTTGTTTTTTTATATATTATAGCTATAATGATGATTTTCCTGTATTACGTTTATGCGGATAGGATTGTTTTTCTGTGTGAATTCATTAGCATAAATATTTTCAATATAAATGTAAGTTTGGTTTAGGCATAACACCTACAGTTTATAAAGCTGCGGCAACTGTCCAATGAACTACGATTTTAGGCGTTTGACTTTTAAACTATTTATGATCTCGAGTTAACAACTCTTCATTTGTGTCAGTGTAAACACTCATGTCAAGCAGCCAGTCACATGCACCGTAAAATTTGGCGCATGTGTTTATCGGTTTTATTTGTGATACCCAATGGGCACAGTGAAATGAAATTGTCAAGACAAATCCTAGGGTAGCAGACATAGTAACAGTTTGAGTGGTAATAGGAAAGATTAGTCATAGAAGATACTATTCGTTAAAAAAAGTATGGGTTGGTGAAATAAAACGATTATCAGGTAATTTATAAACGTTGGATCTGCGCTTTTGAGAACGGTTTTCAGCCGTTACCCAACGTTTAAGCATTGGTTACAATGATTAAACAGACCACAACCACGTCTGCAACTACCTACATGGTTCTTGTACAATCAGTTTCTTCGTGGGTTGATGCCATATCTTGGTGTGACTGCCCCTAGCTTCTGTCGTCACGCACCGAGTTAGCTGGGGAATGAACATTCGTAATACCATCTCAGTCGATAAAGCTTACCTCACCGATCGATTTGTCATTTTTACTTGGCGCCCTCTGTCGAGCGTCAGAAGTTCTAACTCGATGATGCCAACATATACAAGTAACGGTCCGAAGGCATCTTTAACTGAATACTAGTGACCTAAAAGTATATGTTTAAGGGCCGAGTTTCATGACAATAATTAAAACAAACTGCTGCGTTGTATATTCGTCCTTTAGCTGAGAAATGGATATTTCACCGTGGCCAGTTTATAAAATCCGACCGAGATTCATTAACTCGTACGTTCAAGTAACGGCTCTATCATTCACGTGGTAAATGCCTCATAACTGGTTATACACACCTGCATAGTTATTGTTATTCAGTTTCTAACGCACGTACCCATATATAAGTTTTTTTACTTCCTAGTTTTCAGATTGCACATTAGCTCAGTCTATGTAAATGCTCAAAACCTGTATGCTTTTACGAAGTTTTGCATGTGATTATAAAGCATATGTTACATGTACTAACTGGGAAGTTTCTCAGCATGTACAAGGAGGAACCTAGTTATATTTTCAGCATCCTATCGGTCCACTTGGAGATATATAGTAACACTAGTACTCCTGAAATCCATTGGATCATGTGTTCGCGTCCTATCGAGTCATCAGTCTTCATACGATTGATGTTGCGTTAAACGTAGTTCAAGGTTTTGTATGGAGCTTATGAATAATGATTGTATGACTGTGAAATAATAGGCTGCAAACCCAGCATTTAATTTTTACTAAATGGGATCATTTAGATGCTCTGAAAAATTATTCAGTGTCCACATGGTCAGTGGTTTTGCAATCGCCTACTTAACCTATTATTTGATTTTCGACAACATAATAGGAAACTCCAGCACACTTGTCATTTTTTCTGGTAATTTTAGGATATTAATCAATAAAGTCGGGTTACTGATTGGATTGAAAAAAAGTAGTGTGTCTGCGTAAAATACTTTTACAAGGTAGAATATAGTTTTCCTGAGTCGCCATACGAATCTACAAATCTTGCTTTATAAATCTATTATGATGATTCCTTACGGTGCATAATGCTTAAAACAAAGACATACTTTCTCATTGTTCGTATGCATCAAAAATAGACAATGTATGTCTGTAGAATGCCATACGGTTAGATACAAATGGTTGTATTTTTCACATGTCCGTTTTATTTGATATTGTAATTGGAATGTCAACCAACCTCAGACCGTAATTTATTAATCATTCAGTAAACAAGATTTCAGTTAAATTCCAACATTGACATGTTTTTTTTGTTTTTCAAACCTCCCAAGATGGAAATATTTCACACTTGGCCATAGACAGAATTCAAACTGTAGAAAATCAAATTTTTCACGTTAATGTTGTCCGTATTGATTTATCTTCTTAACGTTCATCTGTCATCAACTGAATTATATACATATTTGGATCCTTTGCTATTATACTGGTATATATTTACTTTTCGATTTCAGTGGTTGTATTTGCTTCTGAATGCCTTCATTAAACTAAGATCCTTGAAAATATACTATTATAGCTGATTACTTAATTTATCTGACTAAACGTCCATTACTTTATAAATATAAAGCATAATTTGTAAAGTATCATGCTTAATTTGTATTTATTTGAAATAATGCTTAAGTGTAAATTGAACTATCGAGTGTTTAATATTGTTTGATGACTTTATGAATTTTCATTGACTGATGTAGTTTAATTATATGTTACCCAGTCGTCATCTATCTCGGTATACTATTCTGGCTAATATTGAAGTACCTTGGTGTAATTTATGCACGTAGTATCATTTTCAATTTTTCATTTCTTCTGAACCCAGTGTCTCTGTGGACATTAACATTGGAATGCAGGTACATCTATCTGAAAAGTTGGAATATGCTAATCACTGTTCAGAATGTAATCAGTATGTTGTAGCCCTCATTAATTATAAAGTTCGATGTCCCGAGGTTTCATATAGCTATTTATATATTAATTTTATAATGTTGGTTTATTAATAAGACAGTCCAAGAAAACAGTAAATGGATTTCTAAAATGACAGTTTTACCTCTTAACTATTTAAGAAATAATGATTGTTGCTGTTCAAAACATAGAATTAGGTTTTCTTTAGTTAATTGTTGCATTCTGATTAGAAACATCTATTACATTAACTTATTAAGATCATCTATCTTTTCTCCAGGCTTAGTTAAACGAAAATATTTATTTTCACAGTTGAATTCATGGGTCGATCTAGGCTAGACCATCACTGAAAACCGGGAAGCACTGAACGGTCGTTTCATCCTAGTATCGGACTTCCCAGCAGTGCGCATCCGCGATCCCACACATGGGACTCGGACCTAGGACCTTCGGTCTTGCATGCGAACGTTTAACATCTAGACCATTGAGGAGTCCAATACTAGGACAAAACGGCTGTCTAGTGCTCTCATGTTTTCACTGGTAGTCTAGCTTAGATCAACTTGTGAATTTAATTGTAAAAATACTACAATCTCTGCAAATTCCTATACTGATAAATTGATTATTCTCTGCCGTATTATGATAATTTCACTGTAAAGTGATGCTGTTCGAGAAATGTTTTGTATAAAGTAAACTCAGATTAGTAATCACAATTGATTGGTCACTGGGTGGTGATCAATGTCATGCTTGCCTAGTCCTTATTAGTGCAGATCGAATGCTATCGATCATGTTGCAATGTGGCCACCAGTCTAGGTGACTCGATACTGCGGGCACTATATCTTGGGATTTAGATGGTGAATTAAAGAATCGTTGAGAACTAAAACATTCTGAACAAATGTCACCTCTCAGTTCATTTTTTGCCTGTTTGTTAAGGATTTTTCCATAAAATTTGTTCTGAAAAAAAATTATTTTACACACAAACACAATCACTAGTATAGGGGTTGTGGACATTATTAACTTTTTGAGTGAGATCATGAACCGATTGATGTTAGACCGCCTTTGGAAACCTGGAAGCACTGGGCGGCCGTTTCGTCCTATTATGGGACTCCTCAGCAGTGCACATCCACGATCCCGCTCGTGGGATTCGAACCCAGGGCCTTCGGTCTCGGTTCATGATCTCAATCAAAAACTTAATAATCTCCACAACCCCTACATTAGTGATCAACATGTGCTCACTAGTGACTAGCTCCATGAGGGAATTCTCGGAGTTCTAGTGAGAATTCATGACCAGTGGAGCTAATCTATGCCGGGTAGAGAGAGTTATCTACCTCAGTACAATGGAAGTTGGTCGCTCAATTTCATGGATTGGTTGATGTTAGACACTATCACCACAGGATGCCGGCTCAGTGGTCCAGTAGGTTAGGTGTTCACGCGCGAGCCCGAAGGCCTTTGGTTCGAATCCTGCGTGCGGGATCGTGGATGCACATTGCTGAGTAGTCCCACAATAAAACAAAACGGCCATCCAGTGCCTGCAGGTTTTCACTGGTTGTCTAACATCAATCGGTTCATGATCACAAACACAATCACTTTTCATACGCAACAACAACGAAAGAATCAATGTGGTATTGTATGCAAAGAAAAAACTTTCTATCATAAACGTAATTTATAAATTAAACTTAATATAAACTAATAACAATATTATGGAGTATACGAATAATGTTTTACTTTTTACAAATAAATATAATTAATTCATTGTAGTATGAAGGTAGTTTTGTCTAGTTTAGTAATAATAAAATTATAAAATGTCATAAGTTTATACAGTATTGTTTGAGTATCCTTTGGGATTGAGTTCAACTTTTTCTTATTCGACGATTATCCTACTTCTCATTCCTCTTCTGAACGAATTATAATGATGATGGTGATGATGATAATGTTAACCATTATTTATGAAAGTAGAATTGGAAACCATTCTCATTGCTGTAGTAGTCAAATCAAAAACAAATAAATAAGGAAAAAGTAAAACTGAGGAAATCACTTGATGTTTTTTCTCTTATCATAGTATCATTCTTTGTGTTTTCTTATCAATTATTCACCTTTTATTAATGTGATTCATTTACCAAATACACGTATTTATATGCTCGGGTTTGTGACAAATTTTAGTTGTTTAGTAACTACTTATATTATTCTTATACCTCAACCGAAACAATTTTAGCGGAACGAAAACTTTCAACTTAGTGGTTATTAGTTAAGTTTTTCAGTCATCATTGAGGTAGATTTCGGCATAAGTGTGCGTCAGCCCGTGTTGACATATCACTTCGGGACAACTAGATGAAATTAATGAGATGAATAGCAAATGAGTTGAAATATTATTATTAACGATAATGAGAAATATTAAACATTGGAGGATAATGGTTTAAAAACAATACTTGTGTCGTCATCACTGCATATGCTTGTACTGACTCTAGTTTGGATGAAAAAGGTTTTATAGAAAGCTAAAATGCTCAAAGGTAAATATAGCGGGTGATTGTTAGTGAGATCATGTCTGTAAAAGTTGAGACTATGATCCGATCTCAGCTCAGACAGTTAATGCGATAGGCGAAAGACTGACGAACAGTTTAACGAGTCTATATGTGCCTTCTAGTCACTCTGTTACAACACAACCTAAGTGGTATATCAACATGTCTTCTGGCTTTTCATGAAATTAAAAAGGCCATAGCTTATTTAAGATCGGGAGGGCAGCAGGCCCTTATAAATTGAACCTAGAGATCTTTAAGGATGGTGGTTCAGTTTTAGCAGTTAGATTGACAAGATACTAGATAAAATCTCACCTGACCGGTCTTGGTAGCTAATCGTTCTAGTGTATAAGAAAGTGTAGAGAGCTTCATATAATCACATAGGCATCGATTTGAATAATAGTGTCTAGACTATTAGCCTCAATAATCATCCAACACTCAACTATTGCTCGTAACTAGCAAACTAGGGAAGTGAAATAGTTGAGCAAATCGACCGATTCACCTATCTTGGATGTTTGGGCTCTCAGATAGTATTTCAGCGCTCACACAAATAGAATGACGAAGTGTGGCGCATATATATTTGGTGCCTCGTACCAATTTTTATGTGTCTAAATAAATCAGTCTTGGAAATCTCACAAGCCATGGTGGGTTGGTGTCTGGCATAGTCTCAGCACAGAATTAGAATAGATGAAGTTGGAAAGATGCTAGGGTCGGGTAGACCTCGATTTCGTAATACTCCATGAGATTATCGATAATTTGAGTGAGTCATTTAGGTAGCTGCGGACGACCCGGTTATGGCTTGCCCTGTATCTGCAATCAGTGTTTGAAGATGCTGAGTGATATGGCTTTGAATTTATTTTATTGACAGCAAAAAGCATCGTATTAAGTGGATTATCAGTGACAAATAGGATAATGGGCATTATGACCTTGGATATTAGTCAGTAATAATATTCCAGTTAGAAAAGATATTATTTGTAGTATTTCTTTGGAACGGAGGTTTTATTTATTATTTACATCTTCGAGGTGATAGACTCCTAATTAATGTATAACAATAGTTCCAAGCCTCATAACTAAAAATTCTTATAGGTTAGGTCGTAACATTTAATATGAATTATAACTTGGTTCAATATCCACTCGGCACACATGATCTAGCTAGATAGCATAGTAAAGCTAATTAACTGATAAATAACTTCTTTACAATATTATATGCAGTATTATCCATTTATGTCAATTATTGTGATCAATAGGAAATGTTTGACTAAAGATTTGGTACTTTTAAATTTGCTTTATTCTTTACTCTGATTATAGATCTGAAAAGAAAGATCAGATTCCATTGATTGTTAATCGATCTAATCATATATGCTAATTTTCCTCGACTAAAACAATACACGGAATATTTTTATATACAGCGACTATTTAGTCCCGTAATGTTTAGAAACTTCAAAATTGATCATTTAATTGATTGATGATTATCGAATATTCTCAATATGATTGTTTCGTTTGTTTTAAAAAATAAAAATAGTTAAAAATTAAGATAAGTCTTCCTTTTAATTCTCTTGAAATCAATATATCTGTTATATCCGGACGAGAATAAATGAATGGTATCCTCTAGTAATTATTTATGAACTAATATTATACATATATTCTTATTGTATAACTATATATATTCCTTTCATCATAAACTTTTATTTGACCGATTGGCCATTATAATACGATCTTCTATTCCAATTTATTAGTAACAGTTTCTCATTATCATTTGGCTTTTTATTTTCTATGTCTGGTACGATGTGGTATGATTTGGCTTGTATATTAAACAAGTATATTTGAAATATATGACTCGTATCGCGGAGGCTGAGACTAGCGCTTTAGAATTAACAGGCAAGACTAGGTGGATAAAGGATCAATCGGAACTCTAGGTTGCTTGTACTGTGTATATGTCATTAGCTTGGTCGTATAAGTCAGCGTATCTATATTGGCAATCGTATTTTGCGATAATCATACAAGCTAAAGATATAACAATATCCCCTTCAATCTTGTCATTGGTTTATAGCGTTATTACATTGAGTACTGATATTTTCCAGTTAACATGTTCAATCTTACTTCTAAAAAACGAAAGCTTATTTAAAGTTAATTCATCAATTACAGGTTTTTTAATAGTTGAGATCATGAGTCCATTGAAGCTAGACTACTATGGAAAACCTCGAAGCACTGGACGGCCGTTTTGTCTTATTGTGGGACCCCTCGACAGTGCACATCCACGATCCCCCCTCGCGACATTTTGACCCAGAATCTATCTATCTCGCGCGCGAGCGCTTAACCATTAGACGATTGAGCCGGCATCCAACGGTGTTAATGTCTAACTTCAACTAATCCATGAAATTGAGCGACACATCCACCATTGTCTTCAGTGAGTTACTATCTCACAACAGACCCGGTTGAACTCTACTGTTTACTGCTTCTCACTAGACCTCCATGCGATCCCTCTTGGAGACCGTCACCAGTAAGCATATGTTGATTAATATCAATTGATTCATGATCTCAACTATTAAAAATTACTATAATATCCACAAAATCCCTTCTAAAATTACAAGTTTGTTAGATATTTTCCACACACACACACACACACATAGAAATGAAATATTTTCGAGATATTATCGGCAGATTTCTATATAGATTATTTTATTTGTAGGTTTGTATAAAATATACCACCTTTTTCATATAATTACTTTATTATATTTTGAGTTTCATAATTCTTTTATATAATATAACTTAGAAACTATGTTATGAAGGTGAACTTATTAAGTAAATCTTAGTTTTAATTTAAGTCATGATATAATGACTATTTTATTGTAGAAAGAAAATATATGATTTATTAAATTTACTGATTGAAAGTTTAACTGTTATAGTTGACATATGAACTTACCTTGTTTTAAAACATCAATCCATAATCTGGTCAATTCAGAGGATGGAGCCATTAAAAAATATGTATGTAGTGTTGTCTCTAAACAAAATAATGTTTCTGTTTTCTCTGTACAGTTTGTCTTTTTTGTCATAGTATTGTTTATAGTTGATTCTTTTATTTTAAATGAATTTTGTTTTTTTTCTTCATCAGTATCCAAAATAGTAGTATGTTTATCTTGTTGAGTAGAACTTTTAACCTCACGATCATTATTATTATTAGTAGTAGTGTTGTTATTACTAGTATTTGTGTTTACTAATGTTGAAGAAGTTTTCTGAGGTATTCTAGGCGATAATGAACAAGACTTTTGACAATCTAATAATTGATCTGTACTACTTTGATGTATATCTTTAATTGTTGTAAAGTTTATCGTACCTATATCGATGAGGAAGTATGTGAAAAAAATTGTTAAATACATAAAATAATGTTTTAAAACATTAAGAACAGTGTCAGAGTAATTGACACTAAGAACCAGTAGGAAATTTATGGGTCACTGGACAGTTGTTTTCATTCTCGTTTCAGATTCTTTAGAAGCGCACACGCAGTAGTCTAAAACAAGGTGATGCATTAGTCCAGCGCTCTATTGTCTCTGTTTGGGTTGTATTTATTCGAGATGACAACAATCTTAAATCTTGCAAAATTTCCATACCATAATAAATGAAATAGTATAGTATAAATAATCGAATCAAATCTTGGAAATACAAATAACTAATTGAAATCATCATTTTTGTTATTTAACAAGTAGTGAAACCGACCAGATGAGAGGATGCTTTCGAACTTAGGGTTTATCGTCTTATATCAGTTTGAAAGTAATGCACTATGTTATTAGCAAACTGTGATGAAATGTAAACGTATACAGATACGTTTTTGTTACCAAACCTATGAAAATAGGTTATAAAAACAATCACTGGTGAAAGTTGAGCAATCTTGAACCTGAAGTAAAAGATTTATAAGTAAATCTATTACATGTGAACCTTATCGCTCTTATTAAAAATAAATTTAATGTCATCGCAGTATTGTTATTGTGACTGATATTGTCAACTAATAACGCCGATATTATCGCTAATCTGGCTAAGCATATTTTAAATGTGATGACCAAAATAGATTTCTCCTGATAATACGTGAACCAACAACAAATATCGTCGAAACCTCCAGAACTGCAATCTCATTGAGCCATGAGATATCGAAATGTAAAGCTTAGAATATGACTGAAAATTTTGTATATACGATAAATACCACTATTTATTTACATTTCTAAGCAATTTAAAGTTTCAGTGAAAAGTGATCAAATGGTCTGTGCTGATTGGCCCTTGAACAGTGTAAATTGTTCAGTTAAGTCGTTCTCATTACATAGCTATACATATCAAATTTGTGTGTTAACAAAATTCCCATTTCATTGGTAAATGATCTAAAATGTTGATTTCTACTTCAAACGCTTTCTATCATATATCTTTCCATTTTGTGCTTATCTGCCGAGTAATCTTAGTTAGCATACGATTTTAACATATTACCTTAAATGATCACACCATACATGAAAGCTTTGATTTATCTTTCTACTTTTTCATGTAAAATATTTACATTAACAAATTGAAAGTTCATTTGTTTGGTGTTGTTTTTTCTTGATAACAGGTTTGAACCAACTATACTGAAGTTATTTCAAAACTAAAACTCTACTACTAACAAGTAAGATCAATTTCAAACCAAATTATTTCTAAATTAAATAATGATAGAACATTAAAATCTTACATTCAATTCGTCCACATCCTTTTCTTTCACATACGAATATCTTTTGTTCTAACATATCACATGACAACCATTTACGACACCATCTTGCATTGTTTGAACTACGTATTATGATTCGTTTATTATTATGCTTTTCATTATCTGTATTAGTTAGTTGATTAGATGATGTATCATGTACTCGACGCATTATTGAATCCCATATATTATTATTGTTATTATTTCGTTGACGATTTGGCTTTTTCATAATCCATAGATAACCACCACATATTCTACTGGTTAGAATAATCTTACACTGGAAATAATCCAATGATTCATCAACTGTTGGTGTTTTTTGTGCTCGAGTAGTTCTTGATGTAAGCCAATTACCAAGTACACTTGTAAGGCATATTCCTCCGTGTTGTTCAGGCAATACAGTTGCATCAGATGTTTCTATGGCTAACTCGTTAATTGGATGATGGAGATTTTGTAAGTACTCTCTTAAATTAAATGAGTAGTCTGACTTCTGTTTGATATATCGTTTAATTTTATGCGCCTAGTTTTTAAAATAAGAAAGAAACACATTTCAGTTCTGTTTTGAATGTCTTCAGTGTTTGCATTTATATGTTATCTGTTTTAGACGTTTACGAAATAACTCTGGTGTTTATTTTTAAGATGAGACAAAATATCATTGGGTGATCATTAGCTAATTACCGATAGTTCTTATTATTTTGATAGTAAAAATAGAATTGAAAAATTATTTTGTAGGAATATAATTTTTCTGAATTCTTCGCATCGTACTAAACTTCACTTTCAGTCATAACAGAGATAACATTAATCAATTACATCATCATATATGATAGATTTTTAAACAAATATTCTCAGTTCGTTTCACCTCTCTCAATGAAGTAGTGTTGTTATTTGATGTGTAATTTTTACAAGTAAATAAGTTATTTTAACCATCAATACACTCATAAATACATATTTTGGTATAATGTTTTTATAGAGTAGTAGTTTGACCAGTTCACTAAGAAGATTCATTTGAAAATCAAACTGGAGAGACTATACTTTATGGACTAACCAATCAGGTATACGATAATAAGTCTCGTAGTTTTGGCGCCAAATTCACTCATCCATTTGGCTAAATAGCGTCTTGGCATTGTAGCTAATGTCGGTTCGTGATAAAAACCCTAAACTTAATTCCGAACCTTAACCATCAACTGTAACTCATAATTCTAATTCTTTACACAGGTTTATAACCCTCATTTGGTTCTAGATATTAGGTGAACACTCTCAAGGTCAGTCTAGCGTTGCTCGAGTGTCGTTCATAAATTATAGTCTCACCAGCAAACTTAATATATTTTAGCGGATACGTTTGATTTTTTTGGATTAAATTTTCAATCATCTCTAAGTTTGAGTTAAATTTTATTTCAAATATTTAAATCATTAAGGCGGCTGATTGTATTAACATGAAACCAATTGCGAAGCATAGTCAAATGAGCGTGATGAAATTCCAAAGGAAAAATAATTAAACGAATAGCAATGAAATATTGTAAATGTGATATGTTAAAGAAAATAGGTAAACTGATCCAGAATGGATTTTAAAGCTGTACATATTCCTTTTTTGTAAGTAATTTCAGATTCAGTTGATGTATTCTAAAAGCCAACAAGATATTTAAAAGATTTAGGGTATATTACTTGATATACGATATACCATAATTTCAACACTAATATCATTCAAGGTAAAAGGTTTATTGTTTGTAATTTTAACAGACGTTCACACTGTCACTATGCCCGTCTCCATAACTCCTGTAAAGCTTTCTCTTTAATAGAGTGGTCGATTTTATGCATTGGTTAAGAAAAATGAAACAATTTGCTGTAGACTCAGAAGGAATATCGAGTAGATATTATAAAAAAAATTTGAATTTAACTTTCCTGGGACATTTTATCAAGTTAACTTGCATATTGTTTAAGTCCGATTACTCTCGTTGTAACAATTGCTATCTTATACTAATGGCTTTTATTGAATTTGTTCTAGGAGTATTAATCCAACCATTCTATTTCAAAGTTCACTCTGTTTTATCTGGATCTACATGGAAAATACTTTCAGCATATTCAGCTAGTTAAATGTATTACAGTCTTGGTTAAATTACGCTCCTAATATAGAGGATATGAAGATATTAAAGTTTGTATTTTATTTGTCTTTTATGTTATTTTACGAAAAATAACCAACAGTTTTACTATTCAAATGTTATATATTTTGCGTTATAGTTGTTTTAAGACTGCTATTAAACTAGGCGATGATTTTGTTTCAAACTCTACTTTGGTCATTATGCAGTGCGTACTAGAATCGTAAGCACAATAAAACAAGATCTTAATCTAACACTGATAGATCTTAATAACGAATATAGATGTATTATTAATCTAAAAAATATTCAACTCTTGATCTCTCAAATCATATTTTTAGCTCTATAAATGATGGTTCATTTGACTCACTAAACATTTCTTGCTCAAATAGTATTATGGAATGTCCAAATCCTAGTAGTATGTCTAATGTCACGACAGATCATGTTTCATTTGGTTCTCGCTAGATTTTGTTCTTGGATCGTATCATTGATCATTGACCATATTTTGCAAAGATTTCCTTGCTCAAATTGTATGTCTTATGTTCGAAATTCTAATATACTTCGGTCCCTAAAGTCTCTCATTAGTTTTTGGGACTATGGAGCATGGAGTTTCTCTTGTTTCTGTCCATCTAACTATCACAAATGTGCGAAATATGGAGCCATAGGTCACAAAGAAGGATTTCGTAAACACGGGAAACTCTTATTACATATCAATTATCAAGTTTAAAAAATGGAAATAAATAAATATAGATAACATAAATAAACAGGCGTTTATCTCTGAATGCAGTTAGCGCTTTTCAGTATCAGCTCCTCGACACTTCGTACCACGGTATTTGATTCATTTCAATTTCTGACAAACTCAGCGTTTTGTAGTCTCATGCGTCTCTAATAGATCTTACATTTATAGGAGGTATGAAAATGTCAGTTATCTTTTCACATATTAACTATATGTAGCATGTTATCACCTGTTTCATCAGTATATCGTTTGGTCGGGCTTGCCTATCGTGATGACCCAACCGAGCTATATTGGCTGGAACATATGTTCCTGTAGATTCACCATGTCGATTGGTGAACGGTAAGACTAAAAGCAGCAATTCAAGGTTTGAGGGTGAAGTCGTACTGCTGACTGTAGAGGGGTGTGACAGCAGTAAGGTGTTTCCCTCAGACAACCAGCATGACAGCGATGCTGCCTTCCCACAAGGAGGGGTAGGGTTAGAAAAGGTCGACCCTAAAAATGTCACACCTCACCTTACCTCACGGATTTCCGTCTCCGGCGGTAAGGCTCTTTGAAGAACGGAGCTAACACATTAAAAACCTTCCACAAAAAGGCCGTGCGCGACCGGCCACAATCAGTTGTCCCTTGGGCTCTGCGGTCACGCTCCCAGGTCGTCAAGACCAACACTAATCCTATTTCCTTTTCAGGTTCCTCAAGAAATACCCATCCACGGTGTGGGTAGCCGGGAAGTGACATCAGTCCTCATACCCGTAACAGCACACGAGACCAAGTTGGTCACATTCAAATCCTTCCTACATCTCCTAATAGCTCTCTTATCTCCATGACTAACCCTCCTCACGTCTCTTTATAACCTCACACTGCTAGGGCAAACGATTCGAGTACGCGGAACATTATTCCTGGTCTTCTGAAACCACGCTCTAAATTTCATGTTGGAGCTTATAACGTCCGAACACTGCCAAATAGGACAGCAGGCTTACTTAGCTAGGACTTTAGAATCTCGCGCCATCCATATGTGCTGCGTCTCCGAAACGCGCATACAAGATCCGAGTAGCGTCATTCATTTGACCTCACCATGCCAAAATAAAGAACCGACTCGATTTACGCTTCGTGTATCTGGAAGCCCTGATTCTGCTTCCCGTTGCCTCGCCGGTGTAGGTATAGCATTGAGTCCCAGAGTAGAACTAGCTCTCTTGGAGTGGATCCCAGTAGACAGCCGTTTGTGCGCTGTCCGACTAAACGGAACAGTAAGAATCCGGAAACATAGGGACACCCGTCGTTGCCTCTTCGTCGTCTCTGCCTATTCTCCCACTGACTGCAGCGCAGATGATGTAAAAGATGAGTTTTACAGAAAGCTCTCCGACCTTCTCCGAAAAGCTAGGCGCTCTGATGTAGTAATAGTGGCTGGTGACTTGAATGCTCAAGTAGGTAAACTAAGCGATAGGGAAAGACACCTAGGTGGATCTTATGGTGTCATGGCTCAAAGAACAGATAATGGCGACCGTCCGTTGCAGCTATGCTCAGATAATCGCCTGTTCCTTGCAAATACTAACTTTAAGCATAAGGAAAAACATCTTTTAACATGAAGACCTCCTAATTCGTCCCAACGTTGGACCCAAATAGATCACATCGCTATCAGCCACTGATGGAGGGGCTCGATAGAAGACTGTCGCTAATTCTGGAGCACATGCCTAGATTCAGATCATGCTCTAGTGCGAGCGCATATCTATCTGCGTCTTACTGGATGTAGGAAAGACGCTGCCAGTAAACCTCTTAGGGCCCTACTTAATGATAGTTAGGCTAAGAGTATATTTCAGGAACAACTAGGAACACAGTTAGGCAGCCATGTATGTGATGCCCACGCCGAGGCAGCATGGAATGATATCCGAAAAGCTGTGGAAACAGCAGTGATATCTGTTAGTAAGGTAAACCACACGGTTAGGGAGCAACACTGGATCTCAGCAGCATCTATCGCACTGATAGATGCTCGGAAACTCGTTCCACCTGGCTCTGAACATAATGAAGAGCGGAGTCAGCTTAAGCGCAAGCTGACAACAAGTCTACGCAATGTTCGCGAACAGTGGTGGGTATCGAAAGCAAGAGAGATGGAAAAGGCAGCGGCAATAGGTAATAGCAGACAATTGTTCAGACTCGTTAAGGAAACCGGAATTAGGAACCCGACCGTTAGCGAAACACTCTCAGAGAAAGATGGACATATTATTCATTCTCAATCCAGGAGATTGGATAGATGGGCAGAACACTTCAGTGATCAGTTCAACTGGCCTTCAGCCACACTTCGGTTTCCCACGATCCCCAGTCAATCTGAATGGCAAGTTAATGTAAGTCCTCCGTCTCTTAACGAAGTTGAAAAAGCCATAGGAAATCTGAAACGAGGGAGAGCAGCAGGCCCTGACAGATTTACTCCTGAGATTTTTAAGGATGTTGGTCCAGTATGAGATTAACCGAGGTCTTAGGTAGAATTTGGGAACTGGACGTAATCCCATCTGACTGGTCTCAATCACTGATTGTGCCATTCTATAAGAAAGGACAAAAGTTCTCTTGTGACAATCACAGAGGAATCAGTTTGACTAATATAGTGTCTAAAATATTAGCCTCAATAATACA